GCGCTTCCCCCTGCGGGGCCCGCTCCCTGCTTTGTCACCTGCACATAGTTAAGTGCCAAGGGCCTGCAGTGCAACTCCCTTTGGTCCCAACCAGGCCCTCAGAGGTCCATTGGACTAACCTTCTCCTTACTGCACCAACCTCTCTTGTGTTGATGACTTCTTTCTACCCGTTTGTATTGCTTCCTAATATATGTTTATTATCAGAGAGAGTAGCCTCTGTCTTTCCTACTGGGGCCTGGGAAGGACAGCTTCGAGAGGGCACCAGGCCTGCAGAGAGGAGGGAGTGGCACTGAGGACGCAACATCATCCCACCTTCCCTTGCTGCCCGTTCAAGTCTTCATCACTTAGTCCTGAGACAAATGGAGCACCACAAAGCTGTCTGGACTGCTCAGGATGACCCCGCTCATAAGACCCCAGCTGAGTCAGTCCTTCCCCTCCTGCCCCCTATGTTGAATGGTGTCCTGAAGAGTGATGACAGGTATACAAAGGCATGGTACTGCCCTGGAGCATCACATATAACATCTACATGAAAATGTTGGGTGCTTAGGGTCATGGCCCTGGGTTCCCCGATCACAGAGTCATGCTCCCCTGGATGTCTTGGAGTGTAACAGTGATACTTGCCTTGTAAGCCCCAGCTCTGCTTCATGGTGGCTGCACTGGGATAGGCCCTGCCAGCCTCATGTAGGTCAGCCTCGATGACCTGCTAATTTCACCTGCCCCTGCACCTACCTTCATTGCTCTCTAGCTCAGCAGGCATAATGGAACCTGCAGGCCTGCATGTGTATGCACAGGTGGTGCTGTGGGAGAGCTGCTAAGGCCTGCACCACCCTTGCATCAGCTCAGCTTCCTTTCCTCCTGGGCATGGCTGTGTGTGCATTTGCCATCTACAGAAGAGGTGTGTGTGGGTACAAGGTGACACATGGGAGAATAACTGTAAAACGTTCAGCCAATGAAAGAGGCAGAGGGTATGTGGATTTACTCTTGGCAAACACTCTGTCCACCCAGTGCCATTAACCATCACAAAAGAAGCAGACTTCATAGGTTGAGCTGCTTTACCCTACTCCCATCACAGATCTCAGCCCCTCATACCATGGGCCTGGAGAAGCCCCTTTTGTGCCAACATGGATCCAAGAAAAAAACAATGCCTTAGGTGGGGAAGACCAACTTCCAAACAGCTTATTTCATAAGCCTGGATATCATTACCTCTTGAGTTTCACAAGGGACCACTTGAAAATGACTAGAACAGCCAGCACTAGAGAACTCTGGAGGTTATTCATAGACTGTTGGCCTTTACCTATGCATGTGGACCCCATATTTCTCCCAGGGAAAAGGTTCAGCACTGAAAATGGCCAAGGGCCTAGCCTAGGTCACAAGTTGGCTCCAGTTCTTGGTTGTCTCATAGACCTACAGGGGAAATACACACGGGATTTGTACACACAGGAGGGAGAGACCTGGATGAATTCCAGGAGCTAAATGGATGCGGGGACAGATCAGGAAGAGTATCTACTATGCCCTGGTTTACTTCCAGCCCACATTTGTATCTCCCAGCATCCATCTACGGGGAAAGCAGGAGATCCTGAAAGCAGGGAGAAGAATGTATTCATCGTGTCTTCGTCTCTGGGGCCAGTGACCAGAGAAAAACAATTTCAGGGAGGAAAGGCAGATTCCTGACTATGGTTTCACAGGTTTCAATCCATGGTCAGCTGGCTCCCAGGCAGAAATATACTGCAGGAGGTCATGGTGGAGGACAGTGGTTCATCTCATGAAAGGCAGGAAATGGAGTGTTGAAAAAACCTGAGAAATGATATAGCCTTTAAATTCTGGTGCCTAGTGACCTTCCTTTACCAGCTAGGGCCCACCTCCTAAGAGCTCATTCCAGAGTATAAACTCTTCCACAGGTTAATTCTTTGGTGAGGTTAACCTTCTCACATTCTAATATCCTCTACCTACTTTCAGTCTATTCACAATGACATTCAATATGAATGGCGTCAAGGAGTCACTGATCCAGAGAGCCCAACAGGGTAGGTTATGAACACTACTCTAAAGGCCTCCATTTGTCTTCTGAGGGACAATCCTGCAACAGGAAGTACCACTGAGGCAAATGACATGGACATGACCCCTGCCCCTTTCCAGGCTCCAGAGATAAGACTGCACATCCCCTGATATTGTGGGTTAGGGCCCCACACACCCCTACTGGTTGAGGTTCAGTTTCATTTGAAGACCATGTCAGCCCCCAAGAAGCAAGAGCTGAGTGACGTCCTTGACCCCGGCACCACTGAGTCTTCTCAGCAATCTGAGAGGCAGATTCTGGGTGAGAAAAAGTGTATGTGGACACCAGGATTGGGGAGGAGAAAGGTTCCACACAGCATGATGCTGATGGACCAGCCAGAGCAGAAGGGAGCAAGTTCCTGTCCCTCCTGCTGCCATGAGTGCACTAATAGAGCTAATAACACAGAGAACCCTCAAAGACCTCCATGGAGACCCTCACAGAGACCTCCACAGACACCCACACCCACACCACCAAAGACATCTCCACAGAGTCCCTCATACAGATATGTACTGACAAACACCCTTAACAGCCCTCCTCAGACTCCCACCCAGAGTCTTTACAAGTCCCTGACCAAGACCCACTCTGAAAGAGAGATCCAATGCTCACAGACCAATTACCCAGCAGAAACTGACCCAGTGATGTACCTCCTACAGAGGCCTCTGATGGAGATTCACACCAGGAGAGACCTCAGTGACATCTCACAGTGACCTCACACTGCCATACTGTCCTCACACACAGCTCCCTCAAGAAAATCACTCAGCCTCCCACACCTTACACAGATCTCAGACCCTCCTGAAAGATGAGCATGCACACACCTCCCCTATAGGACAGACACCTCCCCTACAGGACACACACGTCAGCACCACGGAGACTTCACAGAGACACCTCCCTCAAAGAGACCTCCACATGCACCATGCACAGAGACCTCAAGGAGACACTTACAAAGAGATGTCTTGCAACGACCTCTCACAGAGACCGTACTCAGTGAGCAGGAGATGGCGCAAAGGCTACTCTGAGAGACCTCAGGCTGAAAGCTCCTGGAGATCTTACACACATTCCACTGAGTGCTCCCCAAAAACCCAGACAGAAGACACAGAGCCCTGCCTCTGACCCACAGAGTCCTGACACAGACTTCTCCCACACAGGCCTGTATCACCACCTCCCAGGTTCACCAAACCCTCACGGTCTCCCAGACACCACCTCCCAGAGAGATCCTCTCCCATAGAGATGGCACAGATGCATCTTTCTTACACATGAACCTCATTTCCTTGGCCCACATTTCCCCTTCTCCGTACATTCATTGCTGGTCTCCACCATTGCAACAGCTTTTCCCTTAGCTACAAATAACATGATTTGTTGCTCATTCACATAGGCTTTACTCTTTTCTTTGTCCTACCTGAATCTTTTCATTCCTGTCCCACGAAGACAACCTTAGGTTCTACATTTCCAGTAAGAGCCGAAGTGTGCCAATTTCCCCTGGAATATCACCTAGAATGGCAATGGTAAATTAAGCACTTGATTTCTTTACAACAGGCACAAAAAGAACTATGAAGGGCCTCCAGACACTTATGCGTTACACAAATTTAAAATCTACTATAAATTAAAAGTACTGAAAAACACGTGAACTTTTTGGGTAAAGAAGTTGTACATAAATCAGCACTTTAACTCTTGGCTAGAAGGCTTTAGCCAAAAATTTTGAACATGAAGGGAGAGTCTGCCTTTAAGATAAGAATAAACGGAAAGAAGGGCGGAGATCTGGGTTGCACATATGTGCTGTTGGCCAGGAGTTGTTTCTCGATGGATCAGGGGTCCAGCTATCCACTGCAAGAAGACATTTATTAGTTTTAAACTAAGAAATGCCTCTACATAAAAAAATAGAATGAAAAGAACCTTTGGATGGTAAATGTGACAAAGCAATGGCACCACAGCAGGAGCTTCTGGATAAAATTAGAGAAAAACCTGACAATGCTGCAGAGTACACATGCGCCCAACAGCCAAAAACTCAAGGAAGCGAACTGAAAATCAGTGCTGTATTTTCAGTTAACAAAAGTTCTCCGGCTCCACAGTTGACCCCAGGCTTTCAACCTTCTCTCCCATCATCTGCCCCAAATATATTGCTTCCGTCAGTTCCAGCTATAAGTATTCAAGTTTTTTGTTCTTGTGTTAAAAAAAAAAATGCTTCTTAAGGGGCAAACTGCGTATCATAAGAAGGATCTACTCAGCTCTTCTGTTCCACAGGATGCATCACTAGATTTTCTTCGCCTGCCTGCCTGCCACCTCCACCAAAAAACAAACAAACAAACAAACAAAAACATGCACAAGCTCTTCCAACCATCAAATTCTTAATGACATCCCTTTTCACTTTACTTTTTCAAATGTTTATATAGTTTAGTTCAAAGATGCTAGTGGTACTTTAAACACGTTGAGCACATTTCTTTGGAAGTTGCTTTTCAGCTTATTTGGGAATTTGCAAATTACTTTACTTTTCAACATCAGAGAAGTAACTCAGAAGTATTGCCTAAACCAGTTTTCTGTCTCTGTTGGTATAAATTTTATTATAGAAAGAAATAAACAATTTGTGAGTTACAGGACCACTCATATATCTTGTAATTGTGAAGAGCAATCATTTAAGATTATTTATCTTGAAAGTTATTATAATTTAGAATAAAATAGTAACACTATTAGTAGTATGTGAGAGTTATTTAATTCTGTAGAAGGCAAAGACTCTAAGGAGTCATGACTGCAGGTATTTGTTTTTAATATCCTTGTGAACTTTCATGAGGTCATTAATGCTTTATAATAATGCTTAGAAGCAGAGAGAGAAAGAAACAGCAGAATCACATAAACCTTTTACTGTCTTAGAGTATTTGAAGAATTTGGTATGTTTTGCCTATTTTTGTGGTATCATAATTCAAGGGATATGGTGTGAGTTTCCAATCTGAATCTGGGACTAGATTCAGGGGTCACCCTACAATCCCATACCATGAGATACGTGTCTTACTAGGCAGCAGGTTCCATGAGTAGAAACAGTAATGAATCAGCAGATGACATTTTTAAAAATTTGTATTGGCAGTGGTCACTCACATAGAGTAAGAAAAGTTAAGAGCCTGGTTTTATTACTATGGATATAGCTCAGTGGGAGAATACTTGAAGAGGATGTGAGAGGCTTTGGGTTAGATCCCCAGCACTGCCAAAAAGAGAAAGAATAGCATGATGGTGCACACCTGTAATCCCAATAACTGGGAAGCTGAGGCGGGAGGACTGCGAGTTCAAAGCCAACCTGGGTTACAAAGCAAGACCTCCTCAAAAAAAAAAAAAAGCTTGATTTTTAAATTGTGACTCTGTGACTCAAACTAGTTGAGTGGTCTCGGGCTAGATATTTTAACTTTTCTGAACCTGTTTTTTTTTTTATTTGCAAATAGTATCTGATTTCTAGGCTTTATGTTTTGGCTCTTATTTAGACACAGTCTCACTGTGTAACTCAGGCTGCCCTTGAACTCACTAGCCCAAGTTGGCCTCTAACTTGTGGTAATCCTGCCCCTACCTCCTAAGTGCTAGGATTACAGGTGTTTGCCACTAATTCCTAGGGTTTTAATAGCACAAAGTTAACACATGGCCTACGACATAGCAAGTACTTAATATGTGAGATTTTATTTATATAGTAAAATTTAAATCATGATATACCACTACTTACAATTACTGTAACATGTATATATAACAAAATGTGTAGGCTTTTCTTTTTACTTTGGAGATATATAACAGTTTATCTGCTTGGTGTGTTAGCTTGTTATCTTTTTTGTTTTTCTTTTTAGAGATAGGGTCTTACTACGTAGTTCAGTCTGGCCTTGAACTTGCAGCAATCTTCCTGCCTCAGCCTCCTGAGTGCTGGGGTCACAGGTGTGCACAATCATATCCAGCTAGCCTAAATTATCTAAGACTTAATCCTGAAATGTCTAACTAAGAAGGAGACAGGGTTTTTTTTCCCCCTTTTCTTTTTTGGTACCGGGGATTGAACTCAGGACCTTGCGCTTGCAAAGCCAGCTTGGTGTCACTGAGCTAAATCCTTGGCCCTAGGAGAGAGGGTTTTAAAATATTTCACCTAAATACTCTACTTTGTTTTACTCAGGACCTTGTGCTTACAAGGCAGGCGGCGGCAACAATGAGCTAAACCCCAGGCCCAGTATATTATCATTTTAATGAAAATGATATGAAACAGTAAATAATTTAGTTTCCTATTTTTAAGATATTTTGATTTATCATAAATAAAATATCAAAATACAATGAATTAAAAAACTTTTTTTCAGTACTGGAGGATTGAAGTCAGGGGCGCTCTTATCTTTGAGCAATATCCACAGCTTTTTAAGTTTTTTTTTTTAAATTTGAGACAAAGTCTTGCTAAGTTGCCTTGGTGAGATTCAGACTTGCAGTCCTTCTGCTTCAGCCTTCCTGAGTACTAGGATTACAGACGTGCACTATCATGCCAGGCTACAATGAATTAAATTTCGAAGATCATAGCATTATTTATATGACCAAATGTATTGTGATTGTGACTTTTTAAACTTTTTACCACAATGTTGCTCGTGTGTGTGTGTGTGTGTGTGTGCGCACGTGCACGCGCACGATGCTGAGGATTAAACCCAGGTTCTCATCATACAATGCAGGGTCTCCACAAATAAGCTCTCCCTTACTCCCTTCAAAAATTGTTTTGCTCTCACCAATAACAAATTCTGGAAGTGTTGTGGGAAGAAAGGAACCCTTCTCCATTGTTGGTGGGAATGCAGACTGGTGCAACCACTGTGGAAATCAATATGGAGATAACTCAAAAAACAAGGATTAGAGGACTATGGCAAGTTCAAGCTCAGACTTAGAAACTGAGCCAGACCTTATATCTTACTGCAAAAAACCTGGGTTCAATCACCAGTAACCTACTCTCAAAGAAGAATACGCTGAAGCTGGGTGTGGTGGGTTATGCTCA